GACTGGAGTACATTTTTGTAATCATCACTTTTTCCCATATTTGCATCCTAAAGTACGCAATAATTTACCGTATGCGTTACAATAACAACAAAAACTGCACTCGGGAATACAAATTAAAAACGCACACCGCATCGCAACTAAAAAAACTTAATCTCATGAGTTAATTTTTTTGTATGGTCTCTGGTTAAAATTAATAATCATACACAAACACACATTACTTTGTTGTCGAGACTTTTCAGTTAAAAATGAGAAACAGCAACAAACAACAAAAACAAAACGATACAATTTTAAATTCTTGCTCACAAGTCTGTCTTTTCTTTGCTTTTTAGTTGGTTGGTTTGGTTTGTCAGTGTGTGCTTTTGTTGCTGTTAGTTGTTCTCCTAATAAAAAATGCAATATTGTTGTTACTGCTTTCATTTATTTTTTTAAACTTCCACACTTCTCTTGAGTAATTTGTTTTTTTATTACAACAAACATCAATCTACGTCTATTTCGCTTAAACTTCTTCTTGACACCATCTACTAAAACTAAACTGAAAATCAACCAGCCAGTTTACTAAACACTCGACCAATCAACCAACCAACCGACCGACCAACAACATCCATCACATCCACAATCCTCGTCATCTACTTTACTACACTCACAGTAACTCACTCAATCACTCGATTTTATTTTAATATTTGCTTGTTTTTTGACACTAGAAGGTAAAAAATAGATTTTGTATTTTATTTTTTGCTTACAACAATTTTTTTATCACTAAACGGAGCGCGGCGAGCACAAAAACGCTCTTATTCTCTTCTTTTTATTAATTTTGTTATTGTTCCACTGTGTTATATATTTTTTTCCTCATGTGTCTCTTCTGCTGCTGCTGTTGATTTTGTTGTTGTTGCGCTGATTACACACACTTCTCTTTTGTTATTTTTAAAATATTTTTCTTTTACTTTTTTTCCTCTGTTGTATTTGCGTTGCTGTGTTATTTTCCTTTTTATATACTTATTTAAACAACCTCTCCATCCAAAAGTAAGAAACGAACTGTCAAATTCGTGCAATTCAAAAGTAATAGAAGCGAGAATTTTTCTTTGTTTCGTTTTATTCTTTCTATTCGTTCACTCAAATGTCATTAAAATGTTCAGCGAGCTATGTTTCATAAGTGGATGTTCAACAAGGGAAGATTACAAATATTAAAATTTAGTACATGGAATACTTAACAGTACACCCCGGTTTAGTATTTCTTAATTTCTATTTAATAATTTGTAACAGGTTTGTTTTAGAGTGTTGCACTTTATTTGTTCTAGTCTATAAAATATCCAAAAAAGTACGCGAACAACAATTTGTAAAAAATTGCAAGCGTCTGTTTATAAACAAAATAATAGTAATACCTCTTATACTAAAATTTAAATTACTAACATATCACTAAAAACAAACAATTGATAAAATGATACTTTTTATAAACGAACTGACAAACTTTCATAATTATTAGGCTTCACGCAATATTTTTGAAATTGTGATATCATACCTTTTATTACAGTTTTTGGCGTAATTATTTTGTTAAAATTTCAACTCCTTCATCTGCATATCTGCGGCCAAAATACCGATTTTGGGCGACATTTTTTTATAGTCCGAAAACTGCTGTACATATTTCAAATCTGACTTTAGTATACTATTCTACAGGAAAATTTAAGATATATAAACTTAATTTGACAGAATTTAGATGCACTATAAATACATAAGAGCAAAAATGCCCTTAAAAAAATAGTGTTAAAATTTCTAATTTATTATAATCCCTTTAGGAGTTATGATGGTTATAATGTTGGCTTGTGGTTTAATAATTTCCCATCAAACAATGGTGTTTTTCATCATCATCTCTGAATATAATAAAACTCCATCCAATTAATGTTCCATATATAACTTGTATAATGACAAATTTTGGGCCTTATAACTTTCGTGGTTTTCGAAATATAGCGTTGTAAAGTTTAAAATCTGAAAATTTAAAGTCTCATCACATCTAAAGAGTTAATGATAAAATTTTTGTTTTTGCACCATTTGTCTCAGCAAAAAGCATACTTTGATTATGCACAAAGAAAAAAATTGTTTGAAATATTTTTTGAAAAAAGTGCATCTTTGGATAATACTAAATGCACTTTTGAAGCATTATAAAAGTGTGAAATTAAGCTCATTCTTATTGATTTTTCCTATAAAATCAATTATTAAAGCATGATTTCCTATAAATTCTACAGTTTCTGCTCTGTAAAAAATGTCGCTCAAAATCAGTGGTTTCCGCCTCAGATATGCAGAGGAAGGAGTTGGAATTTTGAAAAAATTATTACAGCATAGTAATTACTGATACAAAAACCTTCTTAAAAGTTGTGATATTACAAAAACGGGAAACATTTTATTTTTTGAAACGAAGCCTAATAATTATATTAATAATATATTAATAAATAAAAGAAAAACACAAAAAAAATATTAAAAACGCTAGATTAGCTATATTCATTATGATTTTGCACAACAAACTCATTTAAAACAAGTTGAAAAGCATAGTCGGGCATATGATACCTTACACCATGAGTATATTTTAAAAGTTATTTATTTTTCATGAAGAAACTTTAGTGTTGAATTTTACTTTAATTTCAATATATTTAAGGAATTTATTGATGAAAAACTATTTTTTTATAAGAGGCTTTATATGTGAGTTAGGGTCAAACATGGGCCAATCCTCATAAAATTTTGAGGATGGACATATTTTTATATAAAAGTTAGTTATTACGTTAAAGACATTTTCTAAGGGGGGCTTGTATGGGGGCTAGGGTCAAATATGGACCGATCAGTGTCATTTGTGGTTATATAAAATTTAGTTGTGCCGTTATGGCATAAAAAATCCAAATCGGAAGCTTCGGTTGTATGGGGGCTAGGGGATATAATAAACCGATTTTAACAATTTTCAATAGGCTTCGTCTCTGTGCCGAGTGTATTACAAATATCAGCACAAACGTATAATACCCCCCGCACTATAGCGGTGTAGGGTATAATAAGCTTCAATGATCGACTATATGATTCCCTGCAACAGTTTGAGTATTTTTATTATGTAAAATATGTATTTTAAAACGGCCCATATTTTGTAATATACGAAAACCCGAATTTTATGTTATGTATATACATATGTACCTATATACATAACATAAAATTCGTATATACATATGTATGTATGTATGTATGTATGTATGTATGTATGTATGTATGTATGTATGTATGTATGTATGTATGTATGTATGTATGTATGTATGTATGTATGTATGTATGTATGTATGTATGTATGTATGTATGTATGTATGTATGTATGTATGTATGTATGTATGTATGTATGTATGTATGTATGTATGTATGTATGTATGTATGTATGTATGTATGTATGTATGTATGTATGTATGTATGTATGTATGTATGTATGTATGTATGTATGTATGTATGTATGTATGTATGTATGTATGTATGTATGTATTTATGTATGAATGTATATCTGTCTTGTAGTAAATAAGCGACATTTTATAAACATATAAATTGTCCAAAGAAGTTCAGAAAGATGTATGTATCTTCATTCTTTCCAAATTTTTTTCGTATTTTTTTTGCTCAAATAAAGCTTAGACTATTGCCATTAAGAGCTCTGTGATTACTTAGTGGTATGCGAGTGGAATATACATATATATGGGGAATCTCATGTCAAGTGACCCAACTAAAAAATTCGATTTTGAGGTTTTTTGTTCAGAAATTATCTTAGTATTTGATCATATAAAGTACAAGTTTAATGAACAAAAACAGTTATGTATGTGTAATAAAATATTCAAATTTTAGAATATGTTGCTCCAAAAAACTTGAAACAAAATCAAAAACAAAATATGTGGTTTTTATTAAATATTTAATTATAGATTACAAATGGCGAATCACTCTGGAATATATTTACAACACACTTGTAGCTAGTGGGCTTAGGTTCGCACGAAACAAATCTATTTCGCGAAATTACGAAATAAAAAAGTTTTTTGCTCTCCTGAAAACATAACAAAAAAACATAACTGTTTTTGTCGGAGCATTATGCATAATGCATTAAAAATATCTTTGCAAAAACAAAACGTATAATTTATTTTATCTGTAGGGGTGTATGTCTTAAATATGATTGAATTTCACACCAAATGCACAAACAATTTTCAAATATTACACTTACAGTAAATTAAAAGTTTCTATAAATATTTTAGCCCTACTACAAAAAATGCGAACTATTTGAAACACATTAAACTATTTTTTACAGATATTCCTATGGGAAAACCTAGTGTTCATGTAACAACAGTAAAAGGTTGTGTACTACAATTAGAATATACGAACCATATTTGTAAAATAATTAAAATGACAGCTGCCCTTATTGAAAAAAGTTTAAAGTATTGGCGAAACACAATTAAACTACATAATGTCAAAGTTGAATACACTCTGATCATGTACATCGATAAACAAATAAATAAATGGGCAGATTAATTTAAGACTTGATTAGTCAACCCATTAACGTTGCATCACAATCAGCAGATTGAATATACTTATTTGTAAACGTAGTATGTATATATAAAAAAAGTTTTTTACGATACGAATCAAGCTTTAATTCATAATTTTGATAAAATCCTAAATTTATTTGAAGTTAAATATATAAAAAAACAAATATTTCTCAAACGAAAAACTTGTGCAGTATTTAAAACAACCCCAGCCATTTTCAGGGTATAGCTGCTGTTTTTTTCTAAATTTTTAATAATATTAATTATTTTGCTAAACACGACGTTATGCAAATTTCTATATTCAAATCGGAGGATAAATTAATAAATAGATCTAAAAAAATAGACTTTTAAATCTATAAGTGATGGTAAAAGTGATATATCGTCCCAAAAAAACAAAAGCCTTCAATTTACACAATGATTTAAAGATTCCAACGTACTAATAAATATTTCGGATAAATAATGTTTTTCGTTAGATATGATTTTTTGCGGTCTTTTACGGAACTAATTTGACACATCAACTGCAATATTTGCGTATATATAATATTGTACATATCACTTCCTAGTTTATATAAAAAATACAATATTTTTAGTTTAAACAAAAATAATTCTATATTAACATAAATAGAGAGAGATAAAAATATAAACTTAAACAATATGTTGTAAAATACCTTGTCTTACCAACGTTTCTACCTGTGATCGTGGCAAATAATGTTGACTATTTTTCTTTAGATAAATAACTTCTCCATCTTCCAATTCAAATTTGCCAAAATCCTCCACACAACGTACTTCAATATATAGCGATTTTGGTGGACGAAGATCACCGGTTAGATCAATACCTTGGCCATCGCCTATAGAACGCATATAGGAGGCCAAAGATTTGGAATATTTATTGAAAAATGTAACTTCTGGTTCGCAAAGATTTACTTTAATATCGGATGGCACAATCGGACCAAATTCCCAACGTAAAGCTTTAATTCTCTGTAAACGTTGATGCAAATAGGTGAGGAGGCATCTTTTATTGCGCTGCAAAGCAGCATGACGAAAATTTAATAAAGGCCATAATGTGCGATCACCTGATGTGGAATAGTTGGCTCTAAGAAGTTAAGTTATAAATTATTACTCATAAAAATCTAAAATTAAATTTACTTACGCTTGTGCACAATTTTCTTCAAATATAGCTTTAATTTCTTCCAAAACTTGTCTGACACCATCATCCTTTTTAAATAAATCAAAATCATCAAATTATGTTTGAAATTCTATCAATTTTTTTTTAATTTACTCACATCAAAAGCTGGTATTGTTTGTGATGATCTTTCCAATTCTTTAACTAATTCAAATGCCTTATCGGCAAACATTTTATTGGATTTACTCATTTTTTATTAAACAATTGTAATATTATAAGCGTTAATTTATTGTATTAATCAATGACATGTAGCAAAATATTTGTTTACATTTAACGCGCCAAAAACAAAATTGTTTGTTTTGATTTCGGCGATCAGCTGTAATAAACAAAACAAGCGCCATCTGTTTCTCAATAAATTCTAGAATATTGAATGTGATTGCCAATGTAATTTGCTTAACTTAATCAGGATGCACTTATTACATCATGAACTTAATTTATAAAAGCAGGACACATTTTGAAACATAAAATAAAATCAATCTAACAGTATTCTTATTTTTTCCTTTAATGAAATAAAAAAAGCTAAAAGAATCATTCAAAAGTAAATGTTGTAACACTGCCACCTATTGGTAAGTAGTTTTATAAAAATAGCTTGACATCTCACATGTCAGTACATTATTGACATTTAATATTGTTGTTGTTTTGTTTTTGTTATTGATAAATTACTGCAAAAACTAAAATTGGCGGCTTTTAATCAATTTGTGAAATTTGTTTTCTATCAATAAAGAAATAATTAAAAAGTGTAAGAGAAAATAATGCCTGAATCTATAATTGCCGGTATACCGGTAAATTTTCCCTTCGAACCATATGAGGTACAACGTGCTTATATGGAAAAGGTGATCCTGTGTTTACGTGACAGTACCAATGGTGTCCTAGAATCACCAACTGGTACTGGAAAAACATTAAGTCTTCTTTGCTCTTCATTAGCATGGCTTCTGTCCAAGAAACAAGAAATGAAGGCAAATATGCAGAAAACAATACCGGGACCAGGTGAAAGTAGAAACGTGCCCGAAATAATGGAACAACTTGAAATGATAAATCGTTCAAAAGGTAAAAGCAATTGGGGTGTACCAAAAATCATTTATGCCTCGCGTACCCATTCACAATTGACACAAGCTATGCAGGAATTGAAGAGAACTTCGTATTCCTTTATGAGAGCCGTGGTTTTGGGCTCCAGAGATCAACTGTGTATACATCCCGAAGTCATGCGCGAACAGGGCAATGCGAATAAAATTCAAATGTGCAAATTACGTGTTCAAACGCGCACATGTTCGTTTCATTCACGCGTTGAGTCGCGAAAAGATGATCCCGATTTTAGGGGACATCCTATTATGGACATTGAAGATCTAGTGAAGGCAGGACAAAAACTTAAAATGTGCCCGTATTATGCTTCAAAAGAATTAGTGGAAGATGCTGATATCGTATTTATGCCCTACAATTATCTATTGGATCCATCGGCACGCAAAGCCAATAAAATTGAACTATCCAATGCCATTTGTATACTAGATGAAGCGCATAATATTGAGAAAATATGTGAAGAATCAGCTTCTGTGCAAATAAAATCTTCGGATGTTGCTATGGCCATAGAAGATACCACCCACATCATGAAGGCCATGAGTTCGGGAGAAATGCACGATACTGGAGACGAACAAAAAGATTTTAATCTTGAAGACTTGGCTTTACTTAAGGAAATGCTTTTGGAGTTTGAAAAGGCCATAGATGATATCGTAGTGGAAAATAAACAAGATGGTGCCACATTTCCAGCATCATACATTTTTGATTTGTTAGCACGAGCTAATGTAAGTTGATAGTTTTCAGGACTTTTAGTGTCCTTTTAATGTAAGTTGATACTATAATAATTTTATTTATGGACAATTGTAGATCTCTTATGGTTCCTCAAAAACTGTTGTTGCCCTTTTAGACAAATTGGTGCAATTCATGGCAATTGAATCACAAAGTAATCATTTACGCAAAGGCGGTAGTTATCAAAAATTATCTGATCTTTTGACTATCGTTTTCAATAACAAGGAGGATACCATACACAAGGTATATCGTAGTTTTAAAGTTCACGTACAGATTGAGGAACCGAAACAGCAATACTCTAAAGGCGCTAGCAAAGACGGTTGGTTGGCAAAAGGCAATACAACAGCTACATCTAAGTCAGCAAAAGTTATAAATTATTGGTGTTTTAATCCAGGATTTGGGTAAGTAAACTATAAAAGTGATAGCTATATGAAAAACAAACTTAAAACGCATAGTTTATTGGCAGAATGGAACAGTTGTTAAATACAAATGTACGTAGTGTCATCTTAACTAGTGGTACTCTGGCACCTTTGAAACCCCTCATTGCTGAATTGTCCATACCGATAGCCCAACGTTTGGAGAATCCTCACATTGTGCAATCTTCACAGGTGTATGTTAAAATAATAGGTTCCGGCCCAGATCGCGAACAATTGATATCAAACTATCAAAATCGGTAAGTGTGCCTTGTATAAGACTTCATTCCTATTTTATCAAACTTGTGAGTCAACTCCAACTACCTCAATTTTAAAAACTTTCCTATGTTGGATTTGAACTAAAATGCATAAATTTCTAAAGAAATGTTGGATTTTCCCCCTAAACAGTGATAACCCTAAATATATTAGTTCATTGGGTTCTACTATACTAAACGTTGCCCGCATTGTGCCCGATGGTTTGTTGGTCTTCTTTCCCTCGTATCCTTTACTCAATCAGTGTGTAAACTCATGGCAAGCTTCTGGCTTATGGGCTGATATTTCACGTTACAAACCCATATTTGTAGAGCCTAGAGGTAAAGACGATTTTGTAACGACCATGGAATCATTTTATCAAAGCATAAAAGATTCAAAAGGAGCTTGCTTTATGGCCGTTTGTCGTGGGAAAGTCTCCGAAGGTCTTGATTTTGCCGATCGCAATGGACGTGCTGTTATTATAACCGGTTTACCGTTTCCCCCTTTGAAGGATCCGAAAGTTATTTTGAAAAGGAAATATTTAGAAGATAATCGCACAAAAGAAAATGAGGTTTGTTTGAGATTCAAAAGGTAGATAGTATCAGACATTTATATTAAAACTTTTAGCTACTTACTGGTCAAGCGTGGTATGCTTTGGATGCTACACGTGCTGTTAATCAGGCTATAGGTCGTGTTATACGTCATCGTAATGACTATGGTGCCATCTTGCTATGTGACATACGCTTTCAACAATCATCCCAAGTACAACAGCTATCCAAATGGATACGTGATATTTTAGGAAATGCACCTAAAAGTTCGGCATTTGGTCCAGTAGTTAAAGAATTAAGAGATTTTTTCAAAAATGCCGAGAAAAGTGTAAGTTTTTTGTTTTCAAAATAATGTGGAACTTTTTAAATTCTTTTTATATGATCTGCCATAGATGCCTAAGCCCAAAGAGCGTTCTGTGGAAGCTTTGGTTAGCGATACATGTGAGGAGGCTGGTGCCGAAGTTGTACGTAGTAAATATTTTGCCGATCCTAAGGAAATATTGGCTGCTAAGACAAAATTCCAAAATGCCCATAACGATGCCATGTAAGTTTTTATTTCCACATTTATTTTAAGAAATTATAAATGACAAACATTTGTACAGTAAAATAGAAAAAACCAATTTAATACAATCATGGTCACCTAATGACTATGCATCGGCTGCGGGACGGTCACGTAATGGCAAATTACCTAGTGCTATGGATTTTATGAGTCGTTTAGATTCTGATGTTTCAGCTATAGATTTTAATTCTTCGGCTGGTGGTAGCAGTTCTTCATCAACAGGTTTGGTTAAAATACATAAACGAGAACGTAGTCCATTCAATCAATCAACATCGCCAAGTTCCAACAGTTCGGAAGTAGTCAAAAAGAAAAAATACAAATTAGTAGAGAATAGTTTTAGCCCAAAACCCAGTCTGTCTGCAATATCAACATCATTATCATCATCATCGTCGTCGTCGTCCTCATCTGCAACAACATTAAATTCGTTTGCGTTTAGTAAAACTCAATTACACAGTGTGGACAATAAAACAGCGCCTGAAGGCAGAGTTGAATTTTTAAAAGTGGTAAGTAGTATTTATTAAGTTTAAGTTGCTTAAATAAAAAGTAACAATTCCACTTAAAAATTTCAGTTACGCAGTGTTTTATCTCCAGCTGATTTTAGTGCTTTTACTGCCGCCTTAGTTTCCTATAAACGCGATGATACCATTGACGTTTTATTGGATCTTTTATTTCGATTATTGGGTCAACCACAATTATTATATATGTTGCGTGGCATGAGACGATTTCTAAAAAATGAACATCGAGCACAATTTGATAAGCGTATTGATGCTTTAACGTAGATTTGTTTTACTTTAGGGTTATCTCGGTTCTTATTAGGTTTTTATTTAATTTTAAAGTAATATTAGAATTTTATAGGCTTCTTATGTATAAGTTTCTCTTACGGAAAAGCGATATTATAAAATAAAATCAAATAAATAAAACAAACAAAAATACTTAACTAATAGTTACGTATTTTTCTATATTTAGGAATATTATGCTATCCAATGATGTCAAAAGCTGTATTTCTAACTGGAAGAATACATTTTTTAGGTCAATTCTTGTTTTTTAAAATACTGCGTTAAAATACTTACGTTAATGTCACGAAAGACCGCATTTTGGCTTTTATTAATCGATGTACAAACGTATTTCCGAACACGTTGTCAATGCTATGTTTTTAAGCTGGTGATCAAATCTTTTAATAAAATGATTAAAACTAATTATTTTTCTTATTTGTTTTACATTGCTACATTTCTAAATTTAATTTATTAAATTCTTCAATTTTATTGGATAATAAAATTCCATTATAATGAGGGTTGTTGTCGTTTTTTTTTTATTTAGTATTATGATTTTCGAAATTAATTTAAATACGATACAATATTTATTTCAGCTTTAGAACCACTGAACACCTTCGGAACTATGTATGTATATTCATAAATGTACAATATTCAAAAAATAGTTCCCGTTTTTGTAACATAAATCTTATTCAAAAAATTCTGAAATTGTTTGAACATATAGGACAATAACACTCATGATAAAGGAAACATATTTTACATATTAAGATAATTATTATTAAATATACTAATAAATGTTATATGTATATCTCCCTTATTTATTATTTATTTTCTTATTAACATTATGATTAATTATAAAACAAAAATGTCTTTCAATCTATTTCAAACTAAATGGTTGCGAAAATCTTAATTAAATTTATTTAAACAATAGTTTTATTATTTAGAAGAATTTTAAATTTAACCAGAATTAAAAAAAAAAAAATAATTAACATTTAAATATTAAATAATAAAATTATTTTAAATCTTAAAAATATAATTCATTGAAATAATAAAAAAAAATATTCTTTCGAATCTTTGTCAACAATTCACCAAAAATTCTTTCTTCTATAATAAAGAATTGAAAAATAAATTTGATGATTTGTTTGCGCATATCATTTGGCAACAATAGTATATACGTACATACATTTATATATGTATTTCATGTATAAAAGTAATAAACGCCATTGACCGTTAAAAGCAAGTCGAATAAAGAAATAAAAATAATTTTACAATGACTATTTTCACCGGTTGTAAGCGGTAGCTCTTTATACAGTGTATCTTCTTTCTTTTTATTTTATTTATAGAAAGATTTTAATTGATTTAAACGATTATTTGAAAACCATACATTTTTGGAGGATTGTTTAAGTTGTTTTTACGTCAAAAGCTCTTAATTCGATTTATCACAAAATACCATTAATTTGGTATAAAATAAATTAAAAACAAAAAAAAAACAATGCAATGTTTTAAACAAACTATTAAAATGTTTCAGGTTAAAAACTACATAAATACAACCCAATTTTTAATACAATAAATGGTATACGATGATGCTTAAACTATTATGTTTGTTTCTTTTTTTTTTTTTTTTTTTTTTGCTACAACGTCGTCATCATCCTATTTAAACTTGACCCACATCGGGGCACAGCAACAATAATAACAACAAACACATGCTCATATTACCTCCTTTTTTGCGCTACTCATTCATATTCTCTGTTGCATTGCAGTGTGCGTGTGTACTAAGTTCTATTCATGCCACTGCATATTAAAACGTTGTTCAAATGTGTGACGATTGTAAATGCCAATATCAGCTAATTTATCCAAATCCGTACAATAGGATAGTCTACGTATATCGGCCATGGCTAAATCAAATTTCTTCTTCCAAGTATCCCAATCTTGTGCATTCATTTGAGATAGCAATTGAGGACTGGGTATATCGAGAGCAGCAATTAAACGATCAAATGCTTCAGCCACCGGACCAATAGATAAATTAGCCCAATAGTCTTCTGGGAAACGTCGATTCTGACAGAACGGTGCTGGATGTCTGAGTATGCAGGCAGACATTAGAATTTCGAAACGTTCAGCTGGTTCATAAAAACGTTTGGTACGTGTTTTCTCCACAAAATCAATTAGACGGAAGAAGGGTGTATACTTTTGTAAATGCATTAGGGGCTCCCTATGTGTCCACACATATTCCCCACCACCACCAGGCACTGGTGCTGCAGTTGCTGGTCGTAAACAGTTTGTTTCCTCTGTCATTTTGTTAGCTGTCTGTTACTTTTTTCTTCCCTTCTTTTTGTAACTTGTTCCTTTTATTTAATTAAAGCATTAATTGTTTTACAAATATTCGTTTAAATTAAATTATTTTTTCTTTACTTTTATTATGTTATAATGAAATATGAAGATAAATCATTACTCTGCCTTGTATTTAGACGGCCTTGTAAAATTGCATCGTTTTTTGTCCGTTTTAAGAAGTCGTTATAAATTTGGAAGTTTATGAAAATAATAATAAATTGAACAATGTTGGTAATTTTGCAATATTACCGTTAAATTTGGCGTTTTGATAACAATTTAGCAGAGAAAATGTGTTTTACTTATTAGGATTTCTAGCGATTTCTTCAGTGTTGCCATTGGAAACAACATTTCGTAGGCTCTAGTTATCAAGCGTTCGAACCCCTTCCTCCCCTTCTTTGCTCTATTCAGATGAGGGAGTCAAAGTTTTGATATATAATTGGATATTTATCAGCTACTAATTAATATATGTATATATGGTCGATATGGGTATCGATGGAAATGTCACCTATATACCTCTTGATTAATATATAATATATAAATATGAACCCACTGAGATTCAACGTAAAATTTTTTGTTTTCTATCACCATTATGTCAAAAATGTGTACATATATTGATATAACATGAGTTTTCAAATCTTGGAGGCCTATAACCCTCGGAGCTGAATAGATCAGACTTTCTTGATGAGTGCTAAAACAGACACTACATTTAATAATTAGTCTGCGATGCTGATATAAATCAGTGATGTATATCCGAACACTCCCATACCATCTAAAATATATTTAATATTCTAGAATCATGGTGTTTTCATTTCAGCAAATTGTTTTCAACAAACATAGCGACTTACAGATGAACATCGCTAAATCGACTTCGTTATTTATATATACATATATATTGTTTATTTTATTTTTAATAACATTTATTCGCTTTATTCTAGCAAGAAAAACAAAATTGTTTTAAAATATTTTTATATAGAATGCACAGACTCTTTTATTTACTTTTTTTTTATTTCAAATGTTCTTTCAATTCAGTTGTTCAAAATATAGTAGTAATTTTTAAGACTAAAACATCTTATTTCCTAAAAATGTAATATAATTCATAAAATATAAATTCAGATAATAATAATAAAAATTACAAAGTAAAACAATAATCTATACAGTTTTTTTAATTCATTAAAGAACATACATATTAATTTAAGAGATCTCTGTAGTCGCTAGGAAAAAGTCAAACTTGTTTGGAATGGAAACTATTTTTATGTCTTGTTAATATTTGACGTATTTCAAATGTTTTATCACACTCATCGCAGGCCCATTTATGTCTCGGCAAGTAATCGTTGTGGGTATTACGCATATGTTTCGCTAAACAGCTTTTGCTGGAGCAGGTTGTATTGCATATTTTACAACGATATACATTCGGGTCCAAATGAGAGCGTATGTGATCTAAGGCATCAGAAATTCGAGATATCTTGCGTTGGCAACATGATATGTAACACTTTTCTCCCGGATGTTCGTGATAGAAATGTGTACGCATCAAAGAGTAGTAGGGGAAAGTACTTTTACAAATTTCGCAAATTAAAACGTTTTTCCACTCCGCAATGAGGGCATCATCTTCTAAAATTTTCTTTTTACGTTGACAACAAACCGTGGTATCGTATGCGATTTGTTGTTGTTTATTTTCTTTTTGTAGTTCTTTGGCCCTTTTGCAATAACATAAATGTAAATGATAAACACTCCTATTATCAGCATGAACTTGCAACTTATGTGAGGCCAAACCTTTGCTATTCTTAAAACATTTGCCACAATCGTTGCACTCAAACGTTTTAGAATTATCATGAAATTGCAAATGCTCGGCAATACTAGCTTGCTCGTATAAAGTGATGTGACAACAATTAATATAACAACGTTCTTCCGGATGTTGTAAAATAAAATGGTCATTTAACTGATCATAACTTTTTACCGTTATATTACATTTGGGACATTTCAAATTTCTCTTCCATTTTGTCGAGGAGAAATCTGGTTCTTCTTCTATGTCGGAATAAGATTTCTTATTAATTGAATCTGCTTCGCTATCCGTTAAATTTTCCTTTTTTACATCAATAATATCTAAAGCAGGCATTTGTATTTGAACAGTGGAATTAAAGTCAATTGAAGCTGAGGGCAAATTTTGTTCAATATCTTTACTATCAATTGTTTCTTCTTTTATATACACCAGATTAGTAGTTGTTTGATTTTCCTTTGTCTCCATATTGTCTTCTGAATATTTTCGTTTATTAATTTTATTAGCAGTTTTTGACAAGTTTTTTGGAAAATCATTCTTTTTCCGCGTAGCATGCATTTTATGTTTGTGTCTTTCTAAATGTAAATGATTTTTAAACAGTTTATTGCAATATCTGCAGGTCCATTTAAGTAATGGTTGTACCTCATGTTTTTTTCGTACATGTCTCCTTAAGTTACCATATTGTGAAAATGATGCCTCACACGTTCCACATTTAAAAGGATTTACATCAATTTTATTATGAGCAACAACAAGGTGTTCAACAAGGCTGCATTTCACAGCAAATGTTTCTCCACAACATATAACAAAAGATTGTTCCAGTGGGTGCAATTGTTGAAAATGTATTTCTAATGTAGAAAAACTTGAAAATAGGTCCTTGCATTTATAACATTCCAACATTCCTTTTAATTTTGCTATAACAGTATCGTCATCATCTTTATTATCAATTTCTCCTTTATAATCTGTGTCATCTGATTTTAATGAATCATTTGATTTTGTTGTACTCCTTGTATCAGTTACATCAAATTCAATAATATCAAAAGTTGACATTTGATCATCGGATTTATCTTGATGTACAACCAGTTTTACATCTTCCTGTTCTATTTGGGCATTAAGGATCCACTGTTGAAAACTATGAAAGTCACTAATATGTTGCCAGCATTCTATACAAATGACCCTTGCAGAAGAAGTCTCTGCACCGGAATTCAAGAGCTAAAAATATTTGAAAAGAATTATTTCGAGGATAATGTAGAAACAATAAAGAAAAGTGCATTATTAGTTAAACTACATACCGATGATTTAAAATATTTGACTGCAACTTCATAAACTGCACTTTTCTGACCATTGTCGTTAAATAAATATTTAAATTCTTCACAGCTAAAGCTACATAAACGGCATGATGTGGTTGAAGCCATTTCCAATTAGAATTATTCAAATATTAAATTTTCGAAAGAAAACTTTAATATTAGTTTCACTTCGACTAAATGCGCTTGATTTAAAAATTTTGTTTACTATTGACGAATATGTAATGAAAACAAATGAAAAAAACAGAGCTGTTTTAAAAAATTTGCGATGTTTTTACAATTATACAATCCTAGCGTTTATATATTACTTTGTTTTAACGACTTAACAAATTTGAATACATTTTTTGTGATCTGGTGATCTAATAAGTTTTCGTGACGATCACGTATACGGTAAATCGGCCCTTGTTTCCTAAAAAGTAAAGATTTTATCTATCAATAAAAAATTCTCTCGCAACATTCTCTGCCTGAATGTGCCTAAAGAAATTTTAATTTTTTTAATAAAAAACGCTAATTTGACATTACTCAAAATGTTAACTAAACAACTCTGTAATTGAATTGTTTGTAAACAAATATAAACAAAGAATTTTATTGTAGAAAATTGAATTTACTAACCAAGAAATGCAAAATTTAGAGGTTTTAATAAATTTAATAGAAACGGTTAAAAATCACCCTAAACTATTTACAAATACGCCACAAAATGATCGGGAGGAGCTTCAAGAATGGACGGATGTAGCGAATGTATGTAAAATTACAATTTCCGAGGCACAGGATCAATGGAATCTACTTTTAATGGAATATGTGGAATATTTAAGAAATAATCAGGATTTTAATTTAGCACAACATATGGATTTCTTGCAACCATATTTTTTTACGATAAAGTAAGTGTTATTCTAGAAGGGAGAAACTCACAATTACCAAAACACAGAATTTTATATTTTTTATGGACGATGAAGTTAATTTTTCTTCTTGTTTATCCCCTAAATAGTGATGGTGAAGCTATTGATGAAGATGAGCTATTAAATGCTATTGACTGTAAAAAAATTGCTGAAAATGACTCAAATGCGGAAGATATAAAAAATGAAAAGGAAATGGATAGAAATTCCTCAGAACTGCAGAATAAAGTTAATGAAAAAATTGCCAAAACAGAAAAGTCACCCACAACAAGTAATCAATTGACACCAGCTATATCATCTGAAACAAACAATCCAAGTAATTCTTTTACAAATTTGTCCTCACTGGAGCTAATATTTCTAGGCTATGCAAAACAATTACAAAAGATGCCTCTACCGTTACAACTTAAAACAAAACGTAAAATTGCCGATATAATGGACGAAGCTGAACTACAAATGATGAGTTAAATAGCCATTTGTAGAATTATATTAAATCTTTATTATAAAGATATAGACTATCATTTCATACCTACATGCATTATTATACAAATTATAGTTGCCTGTAAACACCCAAGAGCTTTATTTCTAAATAAAAGAACTTATTTTGTTTATTAGCCATTATTGGCAGTTTTTCCACAAAAATCATTCAAAATCATTGTTTTATCAATAAAATGTTTTTATTTGTTTATAGGTATTACTATGTTTTATATTTTAAACAGTCTTTTTCTTAGCATTATTAAATATGCCTAAATATTTTCCCCGTGTCATTTCTTTCGCTTCGCTAACACCCAATTGATAAGCTTCATCATAAATCTTTTTGATTTCCATTATTAACTCATCCGGTTTCAAAGAACTTAATTCTGAAATTTAAATGTGTTCAATATATTTTCAAATAAAAAATTGCAATATATTTGACAATATGAACCTAACATAGCTGACATATCCTCTTGAGACAGTCCTCGTGACCACTCAGGGGCTGGTGTCCGAATTGGTGTATCACTCATAGCTATAAAATCCGTAATCCCCGGTACTATAATAGATTATTTCAAAATCGTAAAAAAATTTGACGTACAAAGATTCCATTTGTCATTTAAGAGAGAACAAAAAGAAAATAGATGAACTCACTTTTTTCTGGCCACAAGTCTGGTGAAGCACGATCTAGTTTTTCTAGTGACAACAAACCATCATCCTGCAGTTCATCTTTAATCATAGAACCTAAAGCGATACATAAGTATATATAATTTGTAAAATTTATTTCTTAATATTTTGTATAAAATATACTTTTTAACAATGTGCGTCCTTTATTTGTTGACATTTTTTAAATGTTTGGAAAAAAATACAAGAAAATCTCAAAACAACAAAAAATATGCCGTGTTGCCAGACAATGCAAATTTAAATGCAGGGGCGAATTTTTTTTAATGATTTACTATGTACAAAAGGCCTACAAGCAAACATATTTTCATTTGTAAACCTAGAATTATTATATTTTAACATAAACATTGGAAAAGAAGTTAAAAAGTGAAAAAAGTCGAAAAATCAGTATAAAAAAAGTTTTTTAATAAACAAATTATTAGGAATTACGTACTGGAAACTGAGTTTCTGAACATTGAAATATAATGAATAGTGGCCTAGGTGTATTTCTTCGGATTTGATATAATATACATCCACCTGACCTAACCTAATAGAAAAAAGTTTAGTAATAATCATGAGAAATAATTGTATTAAATAAATTAATAATATAATAAATTAATGTAAAACTTACACAGGGCAACAAAAAATTTTAAAAAGTCGAAAAAAGCATTGAGAAGCGCGCTGAATCCGAATTTGATTATAATCTTTTCACCAGATATGGTGTTAATGTCAGTTTACATTATATCACAGGTAATATAATCGTCAAAATATTGCGTATAAGAGAACGGGTGGGATCGTCTAAAGTTTAGACCCTAAACGCAATATGTAATGAAACCATCACAAACTTTGAAAGTGAATACGAATGAAAAATTTGAATCATTCTTAAAGGGAAAAGTATATTTTTCAAGGATATCAACCATTTCGAAATCTCGGTATCTTCCTTTTCTTTTTCTATTGCCACTTTCCCCAAGTGACATCGTCATTCATTGGAAAAGACCACCGCATTCTACCGTGTTTGAACAACAATTTCCTTTTTATAATTTTTAATAGAATAACGGTAACGATATATAAGCGGTATTTGTATTTTGTTTTTCGGTAATGGTATCTTATGGTTATCAGTATTTTGGTTTAGACTTATTTCGGTATTGGTATTAGAGGTAAAGGTAGTAGTGTGAAAAGGTATTTTAGCGGTAACGATAATTTAGCGATAACGGTTGTCAAAAATTGTTTAAGACAGTTTAAAAAAAACTATACATAATGTACGTACAAGGGCACACTTACTTTATTATGCCATGGTACGTACCTTAAAGATGCTATCACTTTCAGTCTGAGAAATATAATTGAACAAATTTCTTTATATTAGTTCTAAGTAGGGTTTCGTTCCCGGGAAGCGTCGGGAAAAAATTTCCGGGAAATGTAGTGGATTTTAGCTTCCCGATTCCCGGGAATTTTAGTCGGGAATCCCGGGAATTAAAAACTAGTAAAAATGCAACCATGTGTTACCATTTATTGTAACACATTTTATACAACAAAAATGGACAGGTATTCCTTCAATGAGTTGCCCGCGGGACACTTCAATGCAGACATACGCATATGTATGTACTTAAAAAGAAAATAATAAAGTACTTTATTTACTTTATTTAAATAAAGCCTGGCTACGTTTCCTCAGCTCTACTACCGTTATCTCTAAAATATCGCTACCGAATTACCCTTATTTTATATTATTTTTAAATAATCTCACTACCGTTACCGCTAAAATAACGTTACCGAAATAATCCAAATACCGTTACCCTTATCTTTTCACTGCTTCAAAACTATTGACAACCCTGATTTTATATATACACATTTCTAAGTTACAAAAATTCAATAAAACATCGCGTAAACGCTTTTTTAATTATTTTTTTATTTTATCGGGAATTCCCGGGTTCCCGTCGGGAATTTGGAAGCCCTAGTTCTAAGGCTCAGTTAGTTTCTACGTTCCGTTCCGAATCATACAAAATCACAACGGCAACGGTAACAAATCAGCTGATTCATCACGGAACGGAGCGTAGAAACGTTATATCTGTGGTAGAAACTAACTATAGGTATTTAAAATAGAATTACTGGCAATACTGGCAACAGGTAAATTAGACAAAAACAAATTGATAAAAGGTAGTGCTAGCCTATAAACAGTTCGTTTGTCATTTTATTGTTACTTATTATTGTCAAAGTTTGTTTTTTATTTATCAATATTTTATGACTATTAACAAAAAAGATTTTCATGTAAATAATTTAATGTATTACGCTTTAAATTTCCACATAAATACACCTTTAAATGTAAATTTCTTTTTCAAACAGCAATCAACAGTTGTTTGCAATATCTGGCAACTAGTTTTAGTTCTTATACAACCTGCCACCACTTTGTATATATTGCTGCACATTAGTTCTTTATTAGAGTTAGTTGCGATTGGTTGTCGGTTGTGGGGATTTGAGGTTGTTGTTATTGGAAAGATTGGTTTTGTTTTATTTAAATATAAAATGAAGAAAGTATATTTAAAACTTGTGTTGGTGTTATTCATTGGTTTATTGGAGGCACGGACACTAATTGAGCAAGTGGATGATACAGATCTAGTACATTTGCTTACCGGTGAAGATAATGTTGTCGTGTTGTTTAGTAAGTGATTTCATCAACTACGAAACCAGTTTTTAGAGTTCAACCGAATAAATGTATACAGTACACTAAGAATTTACGAAGAATTTACTTTACATTAATAAAATATTTTTGTTTATTCAAACATTTAAATTGAAAGAATGTTGTTGTTGGTTGATACATACCTAATTCATTCACAAAAATATAAATAATAAACATTAAAAATTGGTTTCGGTCAGTCTCTAGAATATAATTCTATGTATGCACAAGATATGAAATGCATACTATGTATCTTGAGTTCACTCTTCCATACTAAACAAATTTTGTTTATTTAGCCAAGAACAATTGCCCGGCTTGTGACGAACTTGAGACTGTTCTAGAAAACGTACAGAATGAATTGAAAGATGTTATAGGAGCTGTTGTAGTCAAGGCCCATAATAGTCATATGGTAAATCTTTACGATCCATCAAAAGAACCTGCTTTAATATACTTCCGACGAGGTATGCCACTGCTCTATTATGGTGAACCTAATGCTGAGGAAATCGTACAAATGTTTAGTGAAAATAGAGAACCCGTTGTTAAGGAATTGTCCGATGTTAATTTCGAACATTTAACTCAAGCGGCAACAGGTGCCACCACTGGAGATTGGTTTGTATTTTTGTAAGTATTTACCAAAATAATTTTTTTACAAAAAAATGCGTATACGTCACACATTTTTAACATGCATTTTTTTCATTTAACACTAGCTATTCAGCAGATTGTGTTTTCTGTTTACGTCTTCATGCTACCTGGGAAGCAGTTGGAGCACGTCTTAAGCATCGCTTGAATGTAGCTAGAATTGACAGATTAGGAGCCGGTATTGCCACTGCAAAGCGTTTCGGCATAGTAGAATCGCCGGAATTCATATTGTAAGTATTTAAAAAGTTTTCTATAAATCTATATACTTATTTCAGGATATGGAATTTTGTAAATTGGCTAAGTCGACTTACATATATATATGTGAATAAATATTCGGCATGCCGAAAAGTCGTCAAAAAATGTGTTGCCATACTGTTACAAAATGTTCAACACACAAAAAAATTTGCAATTTATGAAAGTTAGATTTTTTTTTGCATTTTTACAATTTTTAAATTGTCGGCAATAAATAAAATAAATAAAAAATCGGTAACTCGGCTATCTTGTTGTATAAAGTTTGAAAATTGGACATTGTAAATAAAAATCCAAATATTCGGAAAAAAAGTCAAATTCAGTTCAAAATCTAAGACTTAAAAATCAAAAATATTAAAAGCAAACGTTATTTCATTTGTAACCGGAAAAATATATCAAATAGTAAAAAATCAACAAATCGGAAAATCTACATTTTGTAAATTAAAACTCGGAATCTCGAAAATCATATGTTCTAATAAATATGTTAATTTCTTACATTTTATTTTCAGCCTTCGCCAGGGCAAAGTCTACCGTTACAAAACCAAAGAATATAACGCTAATAAGTTAATCGAATTCGTTGAAAAGGATTACCTTAAACAAACTAATCCCGAAAGTGTTCCACCCGAAACCAATGGACTGTAAGTTGATTAGTAAATAACACATTCGTTTGATTATCATTTAAAAATTATATTTTTAGGAATTCTTTCCTTAGCGATTCTATTGACTCCTTAATGAAGAGCTCCCAAGTTGTTATGTTATCCATGGCGGTTTTATTAACAATTATTCTGGGATGTATTGTTAAGTGTGTATCTTCGAAAAGAACAACAGTAGAAAATACTAGCAAAGCTAAGAAAGCTAAATAGTTTAAAGGTATACTAAATATATAGTACACCACAAAACGGACAAACCAGTTAACTCAAGTTTTTATTAACAAAAACTTGGTAACGGTTACTTTTTTCAATTTTCAATTGTAAATGAAATAAACTATATTTTTTTAATAAGTTTTATAGAAATAATAGTGTTTTAATTTGTTTTAATTTAACTCTAATTTATGCTTGTCAGAAAAGAGTGACACGATTCTTTCAAAAGTTTACATTTAAATAAATCATTCGATTGTTTGAATGTTGATTTTTATAACCCTGGATTTCTGTCATTTCAATGTTATTTTAATAAACTCTTCAATATGGCAACACCCAACTTTTGACAGTACTTCCGCATTAGTTTCTCTTTTATCTCACTAAATGTGCGAAAAGTTATCTCTTAATACTCACTATTTTTAATTAAAAGAAAGTTCCACTATATAGTAGTAAATGAATTTCTTTTTTATTCTTTTAATAATTGCTTAGCTAGCTAGTTGTCACTTGGAACAGGGTGTTTTTGTTTTTTAAGAAATACTAATTTTATATAATCATAATAAAATAAAGTGTAAATAATTAACAAGAAATTGTCGCAATTGTGTAAATATTGTTTTATTAATTGAAATAAGTAAAAAAGAAAGAAATCTATTTTTATAATCACTAAGCAACTCATGGCCTCAACGAACATAAATTTTAACAATACCTGTCCGTCAGTAGCAAAAGCCAAAAACACGCAACAAAATTTTCAATTAGCTGCTAATCAAAAATTGCAACAAAAACAACAACTACAACAAAATGTTTATAATTTATCAAAAGTAACAACAATATTTTTTGATTTGGATAATACCTTAACACCTACAAGATCGGGGGATTCCAAAGCATGTCGTAAGGTTAGTATATATACATATGTACATACATGTATGTTTGAGCATGTGAAATACCTATTACATGTGTGACTTTTTTTGTGAAAATTTTTTTGTTTGGAAATTTTCCACTGTTAATTGCTGGTTGGGTTTTGCAGTTTTTTCACTTTGTTTATGTGATTAATGCAAACAGCGTGCGTTGTTTAGAGTGGGAGAGAAAGAGAGAGTTTATATTACATTTATTACAGAGAGTTTTAGGTTTCGCATTAACAGCAAATATAAAATGTTCTTTTCAGAATATTTATGAAGGTACCAAAAATTGTACCAATAAAGACGGGTGGTTTCTAAATGTGGCAATTTACTTTTAGATTAAACGGATTTTAACCGATGAATGGAGTAGTTTGCTTTGTTAGGATTACCAACTTTTCAGTCAAAAACATAAACAATGAACAGCTGTTTTCCAAAAACACTTGTAAACGGACAATTTTTAGAAAAAAACTTAAAATAAACATTTAAGGGCGGATTTTGCTGATTAAGATAATACATTCATTATTTAAACATAGTTTCATCTTCTTAGTTTAAGTGAGAGTTATTGACCAATTAAAGTTATAAGTGAGAAAAGACAATCAACAAAAACAATAAAATAATATATTCGAAAGAAGAAAAACTTAATTTTTTAAGTATATAGTAATTTTCTGATTTGTTTTATCAATATTAGCAACATTTTTTAAACAATTGGATTTATTAAATCCAAAATTTAGTTCTCCCTCTGTACGCCAGGTGGATAAAGCAAAAGGTTTCAATCGAGGCTAAACAAATTTCAAATCATAATGGCAGCAGCGGCCGACAGATGGAGTTATTTCAAAATTTAATATTAAAATTGTAAATTTTCCATAAAATTTGCAACAATTTGTTGCAAAAATTGGTATTTGCACTGAAAAATCATGTGTGAAATATTTAGTGAATTTTGTTTATTTTCCTTTTTTAACACATTTTAAAAAATATTTGCCATCTATTGGTGAATAGCAAAATAAAACAAATTAATTTATTTTAAAACAAGTAAGAAATTATAGTCGGGCGAGGCCGACCATATAATACCCTACACTGTTGACAAAAATATAATGTGATTTAGTTGCCATAATAAAGCATTTAAGTTGAATTGTACCTTGCCTTAGATATACATACTTAAGCCGTTTATTGTTGAATAAAATTATGGACATTTAAGTGAAATTTTGATGGGGACTTTTCATAGGGGCTAGGGTCATATGAGAACCTATTATTATGGAATTCGTGGGGGTCATCAAGTCTTGTATACAACTTGGTTATTGCAGCTTTTTGTCGAGATATGAGTATATTAAACATAATTATAAACTTAAAAGCCCTATTCGGCGGGTTCAGTTGTATGGGGGCTAGGTGAAATAATGGACCGATGTAAACCATTTTCAACAGGCTTCGTCTACGGTACCATAAAAGATCATGTGCCAAATTTCATTGAATTATCTCCAAAATTGCGACCTGTAGTTTGATTAAAAGTTTTAAAAGCCCTATTCGGGGGTTCAGTTGTATGGGGGCTAGGTGAAATAATGGACCGATGTTAACCATTTTCAATAGGCTTCGTCTACGATACCATAAAAGATCATGTGCCAAATTTCATTGAATTATCTCCAAAATTGCGACCTGTAGTTTGATTACAAGTTTTAAAAGCCCTATTGGGGGGTTCATTTGTATGGGGGCTAGGTGAAATAATGGACCGATGTTAACCATTTTCAATAGGCTTCGTCTACGATAACATAAAAGATCATGTGCCAAATTTCATTGAATTATCTCCAAAATTGCGACCTGTAGTTTGATTAAAAGGATTACAAGCCGTATTGGGGGGTTCAGTTGTATGGGGGCTAGGTGAAATAATGGACCGATGTAAACCATTTTCAACAGGCTTCGTTTACGGTACCATAAAAGATCATGTGCCAAATTTCATTGAATTATCTCCAAAATTGCGACCTGTAGTTTGATTACAAATTTTAAAAGCCCTATTCGGGGGTTCAGTTGTATGGGGGCTAGGTGAAATAATAGACCGATGTTAACCATTTTCAATAGGCTTCCTCTACGATACCATAAAAGATCATGTGCCAAATTCCATTGAATTATCTCCAAAATTGCGACCTGTAGTTTGATTACAAGTTTTAAAAGCCCTATTCGAGGGGTTCAGTTGTATGGGGGCTAGGTGAAATAATGGACCGATGTTAACCATTTTCAATAGGCTTCGTCTACGATACCATCAAAGATCATGTGCCAAATTTCATTGAGTTATCTCCAAAATTGCGACCTGTAGTTTGATTACAAGGATTACAAGCCCTATTGGGGGGTTCAGTTGTATGGGGGCTAGGTAAAATACAGGACCGATGTTAACCATTTTCAATAGGCTTCGTCCCTGGGACAATAGAAGATCATGTACCAAATTTCATTGAATTATCTTCAAAATTGCGACCTGTAGTTTGATTACAAGGTTTACATGGACGGACGGACAGACGGACGGACATAGCTAAATCGACTCAGAAAATGATTCTGAGCCGATTGGTATACTTTAAGGTGGGTATAGGACCAATATTATTGTGCGTTACAAACATCAGCACAATCCAATATACCCTCCCCACTAAAGTGGTGTAGGGTATAATTATTTTGGTTTTGTTCTATGAATACAAAGCATTGCCATATTGAAATTAGCTGAATCCAACTATTTTTTTTTGGATTTAATAAATCCAAATTAGATTTACTTCTTTTAGCTGCAAAACCGCCATTTTTACACCAAAATTAATTTTTCTTTGACCTTATATTAGCTTATACAGTGTATTTTCAGATAATAATGATCAAAACTAAAATTCAGTCTCCAAAGATAGTTTTTTTCTTGAAATAAAATAAATCCAAAATAAATCCAGTGGTTAAAAAAAGCCCCTAATATAATTAAAACAAATCAGAAAATTACTATATACTTAAAAAATTAAGTTTTTCTTCTTTCGAATAGATTATTTTATTGCTTTTGTTGATTGTCTTTTCTCACTTATAACTTTAATTGGTCAATAACACTCACTTAAACTAAGAAGATGAAACTATGTTTAAATAAAGAATGTATTATCTTTATCAGCAAAATCCGCCCATAAATGTTTATTTTAAGTTTTTTCTAAAAATTGTCCGTTTACAAGTATTTTCATTGCTGTTCATTGTTTATGTTTTTGACTGAGAAGTTGGCAATCCTAACAAAGCAAACTACTCCATTCATCGGTTAAAATATAAAATATATAACACACAATCATCAGTTAAATTACGCCTAAATTTGTTCCGAGTTAAGTCACATTTAACAGAATAGTAAGAAACCCGCCCAAAGACAATACTGTCTGTTCTGTAAACCGAATCCAAGTAAATTTCTCGTTTATAAACGAATTCTCATAATTTTTCTCGTTTTAAAACCGAGTACACAAATCTAGTCGAAAGTAAGTCGATTTTAATTTTATTTAAAATATGATTATTTCCTGAATACGGGCCTTAATGTATATTATGTTTTCTATATACTACGTATGTATGCTAATCATTTCGATAAATTAGTAATACAAAATAGATTTTTGATGAGGGGTATTTTTTAACCTTACGTATTTTCGTTGAAATCGGTCAAACCAGTAAGAAATTCAAGGTATTTTCTTTTTTTCATAATTATCTTAAATACTTAATTGCATTATTTCTCAAATAAAGTTACACAATAAATCATTTTTAAAATTTTACAGGTTTCCGAACGACTTGAAATCCAATATGGTTTTACAAAAGACGAAGCAAATTATGCTACACAGAACTTTTTGAAATCATTCAGACGTTGTCCCGATAATGCACAAACCCCTTTAGATACTTGGCGTACACACTTATGGCGCGAATCTTTGCCTCCTAAGTACAAACAATTTGCCGAATCCATTTATCCATTGTGGCTGGAAATGCGTTATTGCTATTTAGCCATACCGGACGATTACATTAAGATGTTAATGCGTTTTCGTCAAGCCAAATATCGTTTGGCCTTAATTACAAACGGTCCCTCCAATGCTCAATGGGAAAAGATACGAAAACTACGCGTCCAGCCGTATTTCGATTGTGTACTAGTGTCAGCGGATTTACCATGGGAGAAGCCTGATCCAAATATATTCTATGCAGCTTGTAAATATTTAAATGTTCAACCGGACGAATGCATTATGATTGGTGATAAACTAGAAAGTGATATAAAAGGTGGCAATTTAGCTGGTCTAGCTGCTACATTTTGGTTACCACTTACACCTGATGCCATAAAAGATTTAAACAATGATGGTGATGTTGATCATAAACCTACGCATATACTCAGGAATCTTTTAGATTTATATAAATATTTTAATTTTAACATACAGCAACAAATAAATGAAGAACAACAAGTACCTGTGTATAATAGCCAAAGCAACCACAAATATCGTCGTACAGGCGACTCCTTGCCAACAACAATTGATTATTTAATAAGTAGTGAAACTGATAATAGTTCAGAAAATAGTTCTGATAGTATAAATTAAACTGGTACCTAACTAAATATATTACATACATATGTATGTATGATGGATGTATATCATCAGAATTTGAAGATAAAATATTTCTTCTTGACTCTGTAATAAATTGAAAATTAATGTACAACACTTTGGTACCAAACACAAATATAAATCTACAATAACGTGTTTTATTTTAAGGCATTTTTTGAAGTTTTTTTTTTTTTTTATATTTATACATAAATATATGCTTATTTATGCTTTTAAAAGCAATATGCAAAATACTTATTTTTTAATTTACACTTTTATACACTTTGTACTGTTTATTACTATTTCCTAGCAGTAGTATAATTTTGGAGTAAATTTATGAATTTATATACATATATAAATATGTGTATTTAATTTATGCTGAACACATATACACTTAATTTAAAACAATGGTAATGCTATGTTATTATTTAACTTGAGAATTTCATTTTATTTTATTCCAAATTATATTTTCAAAATGTTTCAATTAAAGAAAGCTCCTTTAATTTGTGTAATAGTAGTTAATCTTTAAATTCTTATGTTGATAGAGTTTACTTATCGCAGTATTTGTTTTATTTTTTCATTAAATAGTTAATAATTATACTAAACCGCATAGAATGGCTAAACTTTAAAATCTATTTTTAATACACAAACCAATAAAACTGGCTATAATTTAAACGGATACACTATTTGACTAATGGATTTAATAAAGAAACCTAATGGAAACAAATGAAAACACGAATTTTTAATGAAGTTTTTGTAGTATAAATGCTTTCATATAAAAATAAATTATATTTTTTACAAACATTATCATGATCTGTTTGTTTGTTAGTAACTGAATTTTGAACCAAAGAAAACAAAAAGATATAACAAAGGTTAAACCTTTATTTTAAAGTCGATATATTGTACTTTCGGATAACATGAAAATAAACATTGGTGTCTGCGCTGTTATAACATTTCAAATTTGGCCAAAAACTGTGCTTTTCAAACTTCATGACATGATATCTCTAAAAACTGCGATGGATAAATTTTAAGTCTAAATTCGGAATCAATGCAGTTCAGTTCTTTATAAAAGTCGATATTTGCCTTAAAAACATGTTGGCCTATGGAACCATGGTAATGTCGTCTAAAATTATAATGACCCATAATATATGTATAGGAAATTTCCTTTAAATAAATTTATTTTTAATCCATTATAATATAGAACAATCTTATAATGGTCCGAAATTTCATAAATCCATCGATATAACTATTTCAAGCTTTCACTTGATATATGAATGGGATGCGAGTGGGATATCTATCAAACAATTTTTTTTTAATTAATAATAAGATTTTTTCAATATTTTGGCACTTCATTTACTCCTATTTTTTAGGGCTCCGAAGAAAGCCTAGACCATCTCCTTTAAGAGTTTTGTGGTTACTTAGTGGGATGCAAGGGGCATAACTATCAAAAAAATATTTTAAGGAAATTGTATAAGCTTTCTTTTAAGCATAACAAAAAACAAAAAAATTAAAAAAATTATTTTGAAAAAAAAATATTAAAAAAAATGTTAACAAAAATTTTAAAAAATTAAAAAAAATTTTTGGAATGAATAGAAATAGCTATCTGAACTCCTTTGGACAATTTTTACTAGAACCAATATGTGAAAAGTTACACTCATTTGAATAAAACCCTGTATGACCAAAATGTCTAATTTTGACCCCCTCTAAGTCTTGACCAATAGAGCTGAAAATTTATGTCTGGCCTACTTTCTAATAGTACTGACCTTGGTGCAAATTTCAACCAAATCGATTTTTTTTAGTTGGGCCACTTAATACGAAATTGTTTAAAGAAAAATATATTATATACATATATCTTCCAAAAATACATACAAACTAAATAGCCTGAATCAATGAAACATCGTTTCGGCAAATCTGGTAACGGTAAAAAGTTAAACTTGAAAGAAAAAAGAAACTTGAAGCCGGGTTAATGCAACACTGAAAAAGAAATCGCTAGAATTGTAGTCACTGGCAAAAATTATTGTTTGAACTGATTTCAAAACAGCTAGATTACCGTTACAGTCTGTTAAATAAAATTAGCGTTGCCGCTTTGTAGCCAAATGGATGGTACATAAGTGGTTAGTACATAATCCAAATATACTTGAAAAAAACATTTTTTCCAAGGTTAGATAAAGGGTTCTACCGTTACAGAAAAAACTAACGTTAAAGTTAATATTTATTGAGCCTTTTTTTGATACAATGAAATTATTTTAAACAAATAACATATGAACACTTAAGACTATAATGTATTATCCTATTTACAATAAAGTGTTTAAGCACCATGCTTTTACAATAATTTAAGTGTTAAATATGCTCTTGCACCCAAAGCTAACATTTTTAAAGAGGAAAACTCTTAAAATAAACTTAAATCTAAATTAAATTGATATAAAAAACTGACGTTTTTAAAACAGACCAAAATTACTTACAGCGAAAATAAGGCAAAAAACTTTATTTCTTTTTTAAAAATTTTAGCTTTGAAATACGCTTGTTACCTCAAAAAACTTACCTAAAATGTAAGTTAAAAGATACCGTTATCTTTTATCGTTTCATAACGTTACCAACCTAGTTTCTAATAAAATTTCCTATCGGATTTATATCGGTCATTTACTACAATAACTGCATAATAAAAAAACTTCGTTTTGAGTAAAACATCATTGAATGTTTTATGATATTTTACTATTTTTTTTAATAACTTTTAAAGTATTGCCTTTAATTTTGAGATCAAGACATTAGTAATAAAATTTTCAAACCTGGCGGTAGATAGAACTTGTTCTAAAATTTTTTAGATTTTCGGTGGGTTTTTTTCATAAAAATCAATTTTATGGGGAAAACATTTTGGGAGTGGCAGCACTGTTCACAAAAGACTCGCCATTTTGTTTTGCAAATTTCACCACTTGGGTGCATAGAAAAATTTCGGAGAAGGTTTTGTCAAGAAACGAAAGATTTTTTAATGTGTTAAAAATATTTTTTACAATTAATTAAATTTAGAAAAAGTTAAATATTTAAACTACGTTCGTGTAATTGTCAATAAACAATCATTGATGAAATGAATGCTAAAATGTAATAAAGTATAACAAGTAAAAAAACAGATTTTTATTTTTAATTGCATACGGGACGGTCTGTGATGTAGAAAAAAATCGTGAGTGTGTGTGTTTTGTAGGAAAAATGTCTTCGCCTTTAGTGTGGTGAAAAATATAATTGTTAAAATAATAAAAAATAAAAAATTTTTGATAATTTATTTTCAAAAACTAGAAAAGAAAATAATTCTAATTTTCTTTTAACAACAACGTTTTCCTTACAAAGGTGTTTGTTGGTGACAAGTGAAAATCGCGATGTCTTATTGTATGTCGTACTGAGTCTTCCAAGTTGTAAACAATTTTGCAGTTTTTATATAAAAGTATTAATTAATTTTGTATTTTGCAAACTATTCTATGATAATTTATACTTAAATATCGCCGCAAGGATTTTATACTCCCAAAACATTGATTTTTTTAAAGTAATGTAAGTTATATAAAATTATAAACTCGTTTAACGTGACAAAGCATTATGAACAATTTTGCTAAATAAATAAAATAAAATTGTATGATTTTTAATAGAAATATTATTTATTGATTCTTGAAAATCTCATAAATGTTAATTTCTTTTACATTCTTCATTTGCTCTGCCCAATTGTATGAAAAATGGAAAAAAAGTGTCAAGGTGTCAAAAGGGTACATTTTTGTGTTCTTGTCATGTCTTGTTTTTTTATTTTATTCTCTCGTCTCTTTTTATTCGTAAAAGGGGGTTGAGAGGTGAATATTTTTTTTTATAAAATTTCAAAGGTAAAAGAAACATGAAAAATATTAATAGAGTAGAATTTTGTTAAAGAAATTGCAGTTTTTGGAAAATAGAATTAATAATTTAAACAAATTCAAAGCATGTAAACGAAATTTATTTTAAACTTAAAAACTACATAAAATGTTTATTCACCAATAAAAAGAGATGAATATAAATAAAAAGAGAAGTATGAATCTCAGTCATATGAGAGTATTGCACTTTGTTGTACGACTAAAAAGTGTCTGCAAAAAACAACTGCGACAAACTTAGCAGACGTCATTTTTTCAAATCGTGAAAAATATTTTATATTTCTTTTGTAGTAAAACTAAATCAATAAATCTTGTAATAAATATTTTAATATAATCTTCCATAAATATTCTAATAAATAAATAAAGTGAAAATAAGAAACATTAAATCAATTAACTAACTATCTAATTGTAAAAACTTTATTTTCGTGTGTGTTAGACTAATCAATGCAATGTACTCGTCGTTGTACCTAAACGCCCGCACCCAAAAATGGCAAGACATGGAAAATGTGAAAAAAACGCAAACACCTTTCGTATATTGTTTAGAATAAATATTCACATGCACACATTCGATTTGTGGACTTAAATTGGCAAATGTTTGCAAAAAATAATTCTTAAAAATTTGATATTTAGATTACAACTATAATTAACTTAAAATCGGATAAATGTATATAGTAGTACCTATGATAGGTACATGATATACATACATATCGTCACCTGAAACGCAAACGGCGCTAACTAACCAAAAATTAAAAATCGATTTTATTGGTGATTCTAATGTACTGTATCAAAACAAATGTCCACACCAAAAATTGGACTCCTGCGACCATAATTATCTATTTTATTGACAGAAAACAAAAGGCCCTATCTACAAAAACATTTAAATATTAAAGGTAAAAAGTCCAATTTATCTACAACCTCCGGTCTAAAAGACTAGAACAATAACCCCTAACCAGAGGCACATGTCTATGTACCTAGCAAAATGTTTCTATAAAAACGATTATTTGACATATTACAAAATCTTGTATTTGAATAGTTCGAATAGTTAATATAAAACAGGTTATAGTGCTATATTTGGCTATGTCGAATCTTAAATATGTGTCCTTCACGTATACATGTATTTTGGGACTTTCCTTGATATACTCAGAAAATACTCAGAAAAGGATGAAAGGGACTATGACGAATCTTAAATATGTGTCCTTCACATATACATATATTTTGGGACTTTCCTTGATAGCAAGATGTCATGGAAGGAAAATATTCTGAAAAGGATGAAAAGGGATTCAATGCCTACTACACATGCAACAATTATATAGGAAAGAATTGGGGTCTGCAACCAGATATGGTAATTGGATATACACATCGGTTGTAAAGCCCATTCTAACTTGTGGTTGTATTATCACGTGGGAGGACTTGAGAAAGGACAGTTATAGAAGTGTGATGAGCTTGTATCAGATAAAGTGTTTAGTGGGTGTGCCATTTTCACTGACGGGTCCAAGATGGATAACGTACCGGTGTCCACATCGTTGCTATCAACTTGAAACGGTCCTTCAGACTCCCTGACGTATGTGGTGTCTTCCAAGCAGAGATCCTAGTGATCTGGAAAACGACGAAACTGATACGGAATCATATCGATGCGTGGTCGGTTGAAACAATTTATGTCAATAGTCAAGCTGATCTCAGAGCTTGGGTTGATACATCGTACATTCGCGCCTGGTGGTAGGGAGTTTATTGGGCGCAGGGTCACTGCAATGCATGGTAATAAGGTTGACGAACTCGCTAGATTAGGTTCAACCATTAATATAGATGATAGGGAAAGGATGGTAAAACCACCCATTTGTCAATATTATAGATTGATATTCGAAAGAATCATAAAGAAGTCCTGGAATAGGAGTTTGAATTGAAAAAATATACAAAGCCCCATTGGCAACACTTGATATGGTGTCTACCATATCAAGCTGAATAAACAGAGTCTTAGGATTCTGATTGGGACGCTTACGGGACATTCCTCAGTTGGCGCCTTTCTCAGTAAGTGAGACAGTAATATACCGGACTATTGCAGGTTGAGATTAATGTTAACGAATTATTTTATTCATTTTCCGATCATAATGTTACATTGTTAATTCATTCGATTAAGTTACAAAATGTTTACCAGAACTTACATAACAATTTAAGAACATTGCAAAGTTTATAATAATAAAAGTTTTTAAAAATTCTAATTTTCTTGTATAATTGTCTAAAATGTATTTATCTGATATAAAGTAAATTATTTGATTCGTTACTGAACTAATAAATTTGATTTTAACTATTAATCGGCAATTTATAAATACATAAAACCAAACATTTCATAAATTAATTGATTACCAATTATATAATTGTATTTACGTCATTATTTAAACAGACCTTTTTTAACTTTTTTGTTTTTTTCTTTTTTTTCAAAATTTAACTATGTAGATCCAACAATAACTAACACATGGCTATTTATTAAAAACTCATTCATTCACTCACTCACTCCACACTCGTCACTTTTGTTTTATTTTTAGTTGGAAAAAATACACAAAAACATTGAATGAACATTTTTTTGACATTTAATTGACAGTTTGCGGTAAATGAGTAAAATACACAAAACACGAATGTGAAATGTAAATATTTTGTAAATACTTACTGCATTAGCTAGTTATAGTAAATATCTTATAATTTCATAATTTAAAATATTAAAAAACTGTTTTTAGATTAATTAAAAAACATAATTCTAGTATTGTGTTTTTAATTTTTCATACAAAATCACACGCAAAATGCAAGCCAATAATTTGACACACACTCATGTTTGTTTATTATTCGTACATACTTGAAAGAAAGTTTAAACCAACAGATTAAAAAAATAAAATAAACTATATGTATATATGATTCATGCACTTTCCAATTACACACAAAAGAAAAAAGAACAGCGTAAATTTGTTATTTTGTGTGATAAGAAAGAAACACACTGTCCAATGAAAAATATACCTTAATAAATATTCTAAATAAATCTCCTTCCTCTTTGATAAACTCGTGCATGAATATTGTATTCTAATAGTATCTTTTGTTTTGGTTTATTTCGCAGGCAATACTATTAAACATTTAGTTCAATTTGTTGTTCAACCAGAAATCATTTAAAAAATAAACAGAATAACATGAGCCATGCCTTCGGCACGTCCTGGCAGCCTAAAAGATCCGGAAATAGCCGAATTATTTAATAAACATGATCCAGAAAAGATATTTGAAGATTTACGAGAAATTGGCCATGGCTCCTTCGGTGCAGTTTACTATGCACGATGTAATCTTACCAAAGAAATCGTGGCCATCAAAAAAATGTCCTATACGGGCAAACAAAGTTTGGAGAAATGGCAAGATATACTCAAGGAAATCAGGTAAGATTAACATCTCAACACAAACATTAAAGAGGTTTAATGTAAATATTTGATTACCCAAGATTTCTACGTCAATTGAATCATCCCAATACGATCGAATATAAAGGATGTTATCTACGCGAATCCACAGCATGGCTGGTAATGGAATATTGTGTAGGTTCGGCATCAGATATTATTGAAGTGCATAAGAAACCACTGCATGAGGATGAAATTGCTGCCATATGTGACGGTGTCTTAAACGGCCTCAGTTATCTGCACAGTTTGGGTCGTATTCATCGTGACATCAAGGCCGGCAATATTCTCTTAACCGATAATGGTGTGGTAAAATTAGCTGATTTTGGCAGTGCAGCCATTAAGTGTCCAGCTAATAGTTTCGTTGGCACTCCCTACTGGATGGCACCCGAAGTGATATTAGCCATGGATGAGGGACAATATGATGGTAAAGTTGATGTTTGGTCATTGGGTATAACCTGCATTGAATTGGCCGAACGTAAGCCTCCATATTTCAATATGAATGCCATGTCAGCACTGTATCACATTGCTCAAAATGAGTCACCTACATTACCGGTAGGTTGTTATAATTTATTAACATACATTTCCTTTAAAATTATTAATTTATGTTTATTTATTTTTTTTTTGCAGAAAAATGATTGGACAGACACATTTTGTGATTTTGTTGATTTATGTCTCAAAAAGAATCCTGCTGAACGTCCCTCTTCTACGAAGCTATTGGCTGATCCATATGTGACACGACTACGTTCGGATACAGTGTTATTGGAGCTTATAGCACGAACAAAAGCAGCTGTTAGGGAATTGGATAATTTGAATTATCGTAAAATGAAGAAAATCCTTATGGTTGACACCTGCGAGACTGAAAGCGCCATTGGCGATACAGATGATACACAGGATGAACATGCCGGAGGCGATAGCAGCAAGAGCAATAGTATTACGTCGGAACATTCAATACAATCTGTGGGTGTATCGGCGGCCAGTAGTCAAGTAGTACATAATCTCCAATTGCGAATGTATATAAACAGGAAAAGTCTCTCATTAATTTATTGTTTATTTTTTTTATTTCCCACCACAACAACTATTTAGAGCTCTTCGTCAAATTCAATACCAGGACAAAATCATCATGGCGGCATGCATCAATATCAACATCAGCAACCCCAACATTTGGGTGCCATGAATTATCACCATCCACATCATCCACAGATGCATCAACATCAACAGCAGCAGCAACAACATGGGCAACATCAACAGGCCATAAGTGGCGCTGTTTCGCGTAATTCATCGCGTCATCGCAATTTGCCCCCATTGCCTAGCATTATGCACAATATGAACAATAATGTTACACCTACAAATTCCACAGCTGTGGTGCCAGCACCCATGCCACACCAACAGCAATTGCAACAGCAACAACAACAGCAGCAGCAACAACAACAACAACATTCTATTTTACCCATGTCCATGGGTGGCGGAGTTGGTCTACAACAGCAACAATCTTGTTCGAGTATGGCTGGAGATCGTATGTCGCAGCAACAAGCAACTCCTCCCATTCAACCACGTTATCTTTCCTCTCCGGCTGCAGCAGCTGCCGTTTATGCAGCAACATCGTCTAATAATGAACATGGTGGTCCAAATAATTTCGCCACCATACGTACTACAAGTATTGTCACTAAACAGCAAAAGGAACATATGCAGGTTAGTTAAAATATTTGAAACAACATCATATTCATTAGTTTTGCATTTATTACATTTTAAAAGCATGATTATCCATCGAAAAATTCACTATAAAATAAAGTTTGGAAAGGGGAATAAATTGCAAAACATGTTTCGATGAACAACTGGCGAATTCCTTTTTCCATCAATGTGTGCAATGATAGAGAGTTATGATGATAAGTATTTCAGATTAACGAAAAATGAAAAAGTTCAAACCCAGAGACCATATTTATTATTCACACCAAGGTTTTGAGATACTTAAGTTTGAAAAAAAAACTTTGTTTTTGATCATATTTGAGACGTTACACAGGTCAACAAAATTTGAAAAAGTTAGCGCTAAGACATCTTTATTTACAAAGTTTGCTTAGGTTTAGAAGGGTTATGGACCATAAACAGATGCATATCCCCTTGGAGACTATAAGGTCCATTATGATTCCCTTCAAAGAGTGAAGATTAAAAAATAGAGAAACAAAAGATAGGTGGAAAGGATTTACCAAACCAGTACCCTAAAGAACAAAAGGATGAGAGGGAAAATCCCCCTACAAAACCTAGTAGATTGCGAGGGTTAAGACCCACAATATACCCCATTTCTTAATCGAACCTATTCCCTAGCCTCTTCAGCCTGAGATGCAAACTTTGTTACTAGCTGAATTTCACAGGTCAACAAATTTTCAAAAGTACATTCCCAGAGACCAAATTCAACTTTTGAAAAGGATTTAGCAGTGCTGAATCTGAATCTGACATCAGATTCTTCATTTCGTTTTTGTTTTTGGTCATATTTGAGACGTTAACAGAGCTACTTTAAAACTAATATTTAACATCCTCGAGATATCATAACCTAAAGTTAAAAAAAACTTCCCTTTATTTTACGGTAAAGACTTATCTCTTTATTTGATATTTTACCTTATAATGGAATGCACACAATAAGTGCTCTATAAGGTTTCTAAATGACGAGTGATTAACAACTACTTATTAGTATATGGAGCCCAGCGGTTTACTTGTTGAATTAATAATAGTTTTCAATAAAAGATGTAAACTAAAAATGGTAAATCATTAGGATTTACACTTTCCTATAAATGCCGCAAATAATCGATTTGTACTTAAACAATTATATACATAATAATATTCCTTATTTGTTTAATTGATAATTTTTTTTACAAAATTAAAATTCAAATCACAGGTACGCCAAAACTTTGTTTTGTAATTTGACAAAAAAAAAAGAAGAAAATTTCTTTCCATGATCATAACATAAACCTCATATACATACTTACATTCTTTTATATTACTCTGTCTAGTTATTTTATCAAACACTTAACGAAATCTATCTGTACAATTCTTTTTTCAACATATTTTCTTTGCATTATTTGTATTTATTTTTGTAATAGGAAAACTATGTTTTGTGTCCAACATTATGCGGAGACAGTAGTAATTGTACGATTTCATAGTTTCAAATACTAAAAAAATGAATGAATGTAACTACTACTACCCACATTAAACAGTTCAAAACGCAAAAAAAATATATGAAAAATAGGCAACTTTACATGAAAAAGAATGAATGAAACAGTGAATGAAAAAATCCAAAAAAAAAGAAAAAACTAAATTAAAAAACCAAAAACTTTTGTGCAGTAAAAGAACATAATAAATGAGCAAAGTTTAATGTAACGAATTGGATTATAATGATAAACACTAAGTAAAAAATATTTTCCTAATTCTATTAACCATAATCAGATACACACTGTTCATATTTGTCAAATTACTACTATATTTCTATAATAATACTCATAAATCAATATGGTCAATCGTCCTGCGTTGTTTATTTTTATTAAATACAATATAAATCATTTTTCAAAAATGTTACAAATTTCATTTGAATGCTAATTAAACATATTTATGGCATAAGTTTCTTTAAATATTCTATATGTATTTGTTGTGTTCCTATACTTTTTAGATTATCAGGATTATCACAAAAGATAATAGAATAAAAGAAACTTTAAATATTTGAGCACAAGAACCTGTTAATCTAACTAGTCCTAGAATGTAGATTTTAATTATTTTTATTTTACTTCTATTTATATCTATGGTTTATGGTGCTTCTTCATGGTCATGGTAAAGATGTTTATGCATTTTTTTGTTTGTTGTTATTAATAAATAGTGTTTTCTTCTTGCAACATTTAAAATCGTTAAAACATATTTTTGTATAAATGTTTGTCATTTTCATTCATTGGTTTCATTAAACATTTTTTTCGTGTTTTGTTGAAAAATTGATAACATAATAGTGGTTTTAGTTTAAAGTTATTACAGTAACTACTGTTAATTCAATAAAATTTAAGGGATTTAAGCTTTCGATTACATAGGGATATGTTGGTTATTTATAAAAGGGGATTTTCAGTATGGGCTGGTAGGTGTTATCAGATTTTGAAAATGTTTTGTTTTGTTGATTAAATAGGCCAATGAAAATTAAAAAATAAATCAAATGCTAAACCAAGCTATATTTTTCCAAGCTGAATATGAATCTGGCCTCAGAATTTCTACATAATATCAGGTTTTCGGGATAGCCTGTCCTAAAGCTTTAAAAACACACCAAATTAGTCGTCTTCTTCTTTCTTAACTTTAAGTTTGAACTACATTTTATATATCGAAAACAATTTGCTGACTTTTGGACAAATTAATAAGAGCAGTTGATAAATTAACAGGGACATTATAAACGTGTTGCATTTGTCTCAAAATTGAATTGCACAAAACTATCATACTGTTTTTTCCTATTTGTTTTTATATATGTAGAATAGAAATTCTTAAGCACCTAGTTATAAAGTTTGTTGCTTACTTTCTTAATTAAAACCTTAATAATTGTTAAAAAAATCACCCAAATTTATCTACTCAACAGGAGGAGATGCATGAGCAAATGTCTGGCTACAAGCGAATGCGTCGTGAACATCAAGCTGCACTACTCAAGCTCGAAGAGAAGTGCAAAGTTGAAATGGAAGCGCATAAAAATGCCTTAGATAAGGAATATGATAATTTATTGCATAACTTCACAAGAGAATTAGAAAGACTAGAGGTAAGTTAATGGTTATAGAAATTTCGTAACATTCCGAGCGAAACATTATTATTTCTTTTAAATATTAGGCCAAACATCAACAGGATTTGGAAAAGCGTATGAAGCAAACTACAGCTGCCGAAAAGAAATTACATAAAGAGATTTCTCTTAAACAGGAATGTGATCGTAAAGCTTTCGATATGAATCGCAAAAAAGAATACAAGGCCAATAAGGAGAGATGGAAACGTGAATTGTCAATGGATGAGTCGACGCCAAAACGTCAGAGGGATTTAACATTGCAATCACAAAAGGACAACCTCAAGCAAGCCGAGGCTCAAGAAGAACAACGTCTATTGACATTGCAGAAGAAGTACATTGATTTGGAGATGCGTAAATTTAAACGAAGGCGTTTAATTATGTTGCACGAATTAGAGGATCAGTTGTTAAGAGATGTAAGTTAAACAGAAAAACATAATCTTTAATGTAATACTTATATAAACCATTATTGCTTTTTTGTCCACCATTAAGGAATTATCTAAAAAACAACAACAACTTGAGCAAGCTCATGGCATGCTGTTGAAACATCATGAGAAAACCCAGGAACTGGAATATAGACAGCAAAAGAGTGTACATCAGTTGCGAGAAGAACAAGTAAATTTATATTATTATCTTTGAGTTTGATTGTTTAAACTTACAAACAAAAACATTTATTTAGATAAATAAACAACATGATACGGAATTACAAAATCAAAAGGATTACATGGAACGTGTTAAAAAAGATTTACTACGCAAACATGCTCTGGAAATACGACAACATCCTAAGAGCCTTAAGGTAAATTCGATATTTTAATTTATTTAACATGTTTTATATTAAAACTATTTTTATATCTTTGAATATATTGAAAATTTTAGCAAAAGGAGTTGCAAATTCGTAAACAATTCCGCGAAACCTGTAAAACTCAAACCAAACAATATAAACGCTATAAGGCACAGATATTACAAACAACGCCAAAGGAGCAACAAAAAGAAGTCATTAAACAGTTAAAAGAAGAAAAACATCGTAAGCTTACGTTGTTGGGTGAACAGGTAAACAACGAAATTGTTAAAAAAAAATAATTTAACATAACATATCATTAATAAAAATAATTAATTTCCTAGTATGAACAAAGTATCGCTGATATGTTCCAAAGTCAGAGTTATAAATTAGATGAAAGTCAAGTGATCGAGTGCCAACGTACCAACGAAATGTTGGAATATGAATTAGAAGTGCTTACTGCCTATCAAAATAAAAATAAGAAACAAGCTCAAGAACAACGGGATCGTGAGCGCAAAGAATTAGAAAATCGTGTGGCAGTACGTCGTAGTGTATTAGAGAGTAAGGTATGTATAGGAATTATTAGTATAATTATAAAATATAATTGTAAGGCTAATAATGACTTATAAACTGTTAATTAATCGTTTATAGTTACTTTTTTTTTAGAAAATATTTAATATTTATTTTCAGAAAATTTTATTAATTTTTCAAATTTTATTTAAACACAGATGGATGCTGAATTGCAACAGTTCAATCAGGAACGTGCCGAAAGGTTAAGATTGATGCATGAGAAACATGTTAAAGAACTTGAAGCTTTTGATGAAGAATCAGTTTCTTCAGGTTTCAGGTAAATTTATATCAAATATTAATATAAAAAAAGTGTACGGAGTAGAAAATTATTGGCGGACATTTCTGATTTCCGGGTATCACTTGTGTGAACGATTTTCGATTAGGAATCTAGACATTTCGATTAATGAGAGAGATAGCAAGACATTTTAGGACAACGCTTATATGAGTCCTTGATCACAACAAGTGTTAGTGTAACTGTATAGCTGATGAATTAATCAGAAATGGTACGATGAAAGTGGATGAAATACTTGACGTCTTTACTTGTATCTCCCTTACAAATTATAAGTCACTTGTTCAAAATGAATATGTACTGCAGATGCTGCCCCAATAAAGAGGGAGCAGAGACAATGTACTATCTACTCTGCTACTGCCCGACATTTACCGAGAATAGATCGGATTTAAAAAATTCTAGTAATACTTTCTTTGAGTTAGGAACCAACTGACAGTAGAGCTATTTACTTTTTGATAGAAAAATTTTCAAAACTATTTTTTTTAATTATCATTTATTTTTGTTATTCATTCAAACAGCGCCTTAGCTATTGCGGAAGGATCACGTGAGACCTACCCTGACGAAGAGGGTAGTCTATCTGGTTCAATGATTAGTTTAGCGCATAGTAATAGTTCAACAAGTTTTCCGGCTGGCTCCCTATAGCATAGAAAAAAAGTTAATATTCTTACAACAAATGGATTTAATTTTTTTAATAATGATAGTGTAATTATTACGACTACTACAACTACTAATAATAATACATCCACCACCAACACCAACAACACCACAACCAACACTACAGCAACAACTGGCAACAGAAGAATGACAGCAACAACTACTAGTACTACTATTTCTACTATCAACACTTCGGGAACAGCAGCAGCAGCAGCAGGCGCAACCTCTACAACTAACACGCCTACAACATTAACAAAATGTTTTCGCATTTCTAGTGATAATTATAAAATTCATAGTAAACAAAATGATAATAAAAGTGATGCATCTAAGCGACAACTGCAGCAGCAGCAACAGGAGCAAAAGCAACAAAAACATTGCAATAATGCAAATCACAACAAAATGCCTCTTACATCAATGTAAAGAAACATAAGAAAAAAAGCAAAAAATAATAATTAAAGGCACACGTCGTTAGTTAGTGATGTAGTAATAATGACGACGACAACAAAGATGCTGATGATGACGACGATGATGTTGATGACTTGATGACAAAGAAACAAGTTGTTGTGGGAGTGTTTGTTTATATACAATATACATACATATATACAGTTTTTATAGAATTATTAAGTGAAAAGAAACCCACACTCCTCTTTACTCACACATTGAAAAAAAAAGAAATTTAATATATACATACATAATAATATAAAATAAAACATTATAAAAAAAGAAAAAAAAAAGAATCCAATAATAAATCTCCAAAATTTTGTGAGACCAGGGATAGTGGATGCTATAAGTCGAAGAAGATTGGTTAAATAATATACATAAATATACATAAATAATGAAACAGCAACATTATAATAATAATAATTAATAATCTAATAATAATAATAATAATAATTATAATAATTGATAATGATTATATTTAATAATTAACGCAAATTATTATATAATAATTTATGTTTAAGTTAAATAAAATAACAAAAACAAACAAAAAAAATAAACGCGTTATAAAAAATATATAAAAAATAACAAAATTCTTATTAGAATTTTCATTTTCTTTTCATTTTACTTTTAATTTTTTGTTAATTTAAAATAAAAATTAGGCAATCAAATCAAATAATTAACTAAATATTCAGATTAAATAATTTACGAAAGAAAAAGAAAAACACTTGCAAAACACGTAGACGTACATATTATTCATTAGATATATAATTATACTACGAGTACATATAATAAAAAAATAATTTTGTATGTAATTTCTTATAGGAACGCTCTATAATTTTACAGGTAGGACAAACAAAAAAGTAACACAAACAACAAAACCAAATGAATGTATCAATTATTAGAGAAACATTTCTAAATAACACCTACAAATAATAATAATATATTTGCTACAAAAAATATATATAAATATATATTAATTAAATTAAAAAAAAAACAAACAAAAACAAAATAAAATAATCATTATCGAATTTGTTTAATTAGACCATCTTTTTCTGTTATTTTGTTTAAAGTTTTTAAATTATAGATATTTAGCTGGACTATATTCAATTAATTTGAAAGGAAATAATTAAGGTTTTGAAAACGTTATTCGATTATATTTCAAAAGAATATTTTCTATTGGAGCTTAAATTTTTAAGCGTCTGTTGTGGAAAAGTTTTAAGTCAAATTAAAAAGCGTGAAAAATGCCTAAGTTGGGAATGGGATTATAAAGGAACCGCACAATTCAAACTGTAAGCAATTATTCGGCTATTGATTTAATCAAAGGTGAGTATTATCTGCATAATATTATGTATATTCCTAGATCCCTTGTCTCCAACAACCAATCCTGACAAATTATGACAGCCTGCAGTGTGCAGGCTCTATGGCCATAACTGAATACAAAGGCAACCGAACGAAACTTTCCTATGTTTTAGTATAGAAAAGCCTTCCTAAGATAAAATAGAAAAAGTGTTCCTAAGGAAGACAGTTTTCATATAGAAAAAGTCTTCCTAAGGAAGACTGTTTTCATATAGAAAAAGTCCTCCTGAGGAAGACTGTTTTCATATAGAAAAAGTCCTCCTGAGGAAGACTGTTTTCATATAGAAAAAGTCTTCCTGATTTCATATAGAAAAAGTTTTCCTAAGGAAGACTGTTTCCGTACTTAAATAGCTAGATTTCTAGATAAAATGGAGAATGTTACCGAATATTATTTTGGCTATAGATCTGTTATTATACGGAAATTAGGTTACCTATTCAAAAGATTTTCTACGGTGTATCTGCAACCACCTTCACTGTTTTCCTCACATTTGAATTTAGATTATCTCCTTTTTTCTTAATTTTTTATTTATTTAGGCTCGGGGGAGTTTTCCAGATTTTTCCTACCGAGCGCGTCCCCGGGTGGCGGATAGGGGGTGGTGATGGACCATCTGTCCTCTCCCAGCTTTAATTTCACTTAAGCTGAGGGAGGGCAGATTGTCCACCACCTGGGAATATTATATTCCCCGCGGACCAAAAAACTGGAAAAAAAAAAAAAAAAAAAAAAAAACAAATATGGAAAATAAAAATAAAAAGATAAAAGTTACGGTGCAGGGCCTAAATAACCCAGTACCGGCGGCAAGTGTTGATCTACTCGCGAGTCACGTGTCGTCGTCATCCTGCAATCGTGAGCAGAATACTACTACGGAGGTGGGTACCTTGGCCTCCGTGGCGGACAATGCGTCAAGTGTACAGCATGCCGCTGGCAAAAATATAGGGGTGAAAGAGAAGGATGTACTCGGAGAGAGCTCTAAGCTACCTCAGCCTTTAAATATAGGTGAGGGTTCCGACTCTGAATCCTCAGATGATAATAAAAATAATACCATTATAGCAAATCCCAAAAAGGATGAAGTAGAGCAAATGGTGAAAGAGGTGAGTGATAGCATAGCTAAACTACCTATTACTAAGAAAAGACTTTCTGGAGCACAGAGGAGGAAGTTGAAAAAGATGCTTCAGGAAATCATAGTTAGTCAATCCCACGACACTCCAAAGGAAAAATCGGACTCTCTCACAAGATCTGAGGCAAAAAGGATCAGGTCTCCCGAGGAGTTGACAACTGAGAATAAACCTAAGAAGAAAAAGAGCTCCCCGTCTTCTAATACACAGTCGAAGCCAAGCCATACTTCACTCAAAGGAATCTCAAGTGAGAATCCTGAGAGTAAGGGTGACAACGCCAAGCCAGATATTCCGAAGACGAACACGTTGGCGAAATCAACCTCGAAGGTAAGGGAATCTCAAAAGAAGCCCCGAAAAACGAGGAAGGAGAAGCTAGACGGAGGAAAAGGAAAAGAGCCGCCATCTTACGCCAAAGTTGCCAGAAGTAGGCACCGGGACGATCTCTGCTATGCAGTTTACGATGCCGGTAATCCGACAGGCAAAATCCCAATAGACCAACAGAGTAAAATAGAAGACCTGGTCAACAGTAAGATAGTGGACCATGCAATCGCTTCAAAGGGCAAACAACCAATAGAGAGCGAGAGCTGCGAGTTCAGCATGGGCGTGATGTTGATGAGGTTGGCATCTCACCAATGTGTTAGCACCCTAAAGAACTTGGTGGAAAGTATCCCTCCTCCCTGGGACGGCGCTAGGCTGGGACTGGCAAAGAAGAGCGAGCTTCCGGTGCTCCTAAAGTCCACTGTCTACATAAAAGGATGGGGCAGTAAACTGGCTAATGAACGTATACTGGAAATTCTTGGAGGTCAAAATGCTGAGCTGGCCGTGGAAAAATGGGATGTCTTTTACAGGAAAGAAGAACCTGAGGGAACTTTATTTGTAATAGGTATCGACCAGAAATCCATGGCTAGTCTTGCCAAGAATAAAGGTAGGGCTTACTTCGCCTCTAAATCTGTCATATTCAAAATTGGGAAGGTGCCGATTGGAAGGGCTGTTACAACAAGCCTCGAAAAGGACACTAAAAAACCTAAGACCACAGCATCAGTATCCACTACTGATAACGTTGAGGAGTCAAATCCTATAATCGAGGAATTTACCATTAACTCGCCAGAAGAAAGTGTAGTTGCCCTTTCCAAAATTGGGAAGGCGCCGATTGAAAGGGCTGTCAAAACCGGCCCCGACAAGGACACTAAAACACCTAAGACAGTACCCAAAGCATCATTAGCAAGTACTAGCAACGTTGAGGAGTCAAATCCTAAAAGCGAGGAGGAAATCACTCACCCGCCAGAAGACAGAACAGCAATGCTCTCCAGAATTGGGAATGTGTCTATTAAAAATATTGCTATTCCTATGCCTGATAAGGACACCGCAGTGCCATCAACAGTACTCACTGCATTAATAGCCACTTCAGGCTATCCGGAGGAGTCAAATCCAAAAAGCGAGGAGGTGACCACCAACTCGCTGGAAGACAGTTTAATGGATGACCATGATTGAGGTTATCCAAATAAACCTCCATCGGAGCGAGACAGCTACCAACGCTCTGATGGCTAAAATCAACACAGGTAAAATACATATAGCTTTAATCCAGGAACCTTGGACGATTCGCAACAAGGTTTCTGGATTAAATCACGTAAATTTCCAACTTTTCTACGCTGATACAGGATCTCGCCCGAGAACATGTATCTTATGTCACAAGAACTTATGTTTTCTCCTCTCAACAGGATTATCAACATCGGATGCAACGGTGCTGAAGCAAGGTCGTGGCAACATATTCCTTGCATCTATTTACCTGCCTTTCGATTCTCCGACACTACCACCAACGTCGGATCTGATGAAACTGGTTGAAGAGGCACAAAGAAAAAATAAGAAAATTGTAATAGGTTGTGATGCCAACTCGCATCATGTAGCTTGGGGTAGTACAAACACCAATCGCAGGGGACAAGCCCTCATGGATTTCTTTAATACTAAAGACTTGATAACATTGAACTTAGGTAATAAAGCTACCTTCGTCAATAGAATCAGAGAAGAAGTATTAGATATAACTATATGTTCAGAAGAGCTTATAAACGAAATTCAGGATTGGAGAGTTTCGGACGAGCACTCCTTTTCTGATCATCGGTACATAAGATTCAAAATACTAAGGCCACCACCAAAGCCGATAAAGTTTCGGAATAAGTCTAAAACTAATTGGACAATGTTCGGGACCTTACTAAAGAACCGTTTAGGTCAGGACACTTTTCAATGTCGAAATAAAGAGGATATAGATGCCAAAGTGGAAACGTTCACAAGTGCCCTGGTTGAATCGTTCGAGGACAGCTGCCCTCTGCGAGAGCGGAGATCTGCCCAGGAAAAACCCTGGGTAACTGGGGAGATCCGGAACCTTGGGAAGACTCTTCGCAAACTATTTAACCGGGCACGGCGTAAAAAGACCGCAGTATACTGGGATGAGTATCGTAATAAACTTGGTGAATATAAGAAAATCGTTCGAAAAGCCAAACGAGACTCCTGGAAACTTTTCTGTGAACAGGTAGATAGCGTAAATGACGTATCGAAGATAAAAAAATTCCTATCCAAAACTCATGTCCAACCGGAATCTATGATCGATGACACGGGCAGGAGGCTTGAGGATATGGAGGAGACAATGAAACTCCTAATGGATTCTCATTTCCCACCCGGTATATCGAATAACATAGATGAACCGATATTGGAGGAAGGGGAGGGTAACACGGAAATAGTTATTACAACTGACATGGTGAAAGGGGCAATCAAGAGCTTTGCTCCCTATAAAGCTGCAGGGCCGGATGGAATTTTCCCGGCACTTTTGCAGATGGAGGCGGGACTGGTTTCCGTACATC